TTTTCGCCCGTTGAAGAGGTACTACAAATGGTGATTTTTTCGTCAATGCACAATATTTGCTAAAAATATCTTGAAAAAGAGTGATGATTGAAATAAATTAAAAGAGGAGAGTCCTTGGTGGACTACAATTTTTTTTTACGTTATACCTCACTAAAATCTCCTACTCGTATTATTAATTTGTATTATTTATTCAATCGTAAATGTTAATGTAAGCCATATATTTATTGAAGAAAAGTTAAACACGCATATAAATTAAACTGGAGCTATGTTTTTGCGCTTTCTGCTATTATTAACCATCCCGGTTCACAGTCTCTCCCAACTTGTTAGTGCCGTCATCGGGAGAATTGTTCGGAAACTTCACTAAACAGCCCCCCCCCCCTTGCCATTTTTCTCGCAACTTTTTATTCGTTTTTAAGGCAATGTTCGCTGTTCTATCACTAGTATATTTAAGAGGAACTGTTAGAAATATCAAAAAGTAAATGTGTGAAGGCACATGTGTCAATTTTGAAAACTGTGCAAAAATTAAAATGTGTAGACGTTATCTTGCACTTCCTACCATACTTCGTTACAGTTTTTAACTATTTTGTCATTAATTACATAAATATTTAAATATATTTTTAGCGCTTAAAGATGACTTGTTTTATCTTAGTTGTCCGGTGACTTGGTACATTTAATTTCAAAATTAATTGAACCATGCAATGAACGACAATCGGAAGCGAGTGGGCAGTGGAATCGATCGAGCAGTATAGAAAATTATAAAGCATTATAATCACATAAATGCTACACGCGACATACTTTTCTATATTTGTAATACGTACCTATTCTAATTACGTCAAATAAATATATCAGAACTGCCTGCCCAGAAATTAACATTTCTTTAACGTACTAGGCTCCTAGTGTGAATCACTGTGATTTAGATTTGTTTAGTCGAAAAACTGTAAAAACTGTGTGACGTATGGGGGAGAAGATCATCTGCGCACGTTTTCTTGAGTTCTAGAATCCCTGCCCATCATTTTAAATATAAATAGTTGAAAAAAGAATAAAAGTGAAAGATTAAATAAATAAATAAATAAATAAATAAATAAATAAATAAATAAATAAATAAATAAATAAATAAATAAATAAATTTTAAAAATAAATATATCAGAACGCGTGAGATTAGAAACATTTGAAAAACTAGATATTTTCGTTCCCGAGTAATAGAAAACGTATTTTCAACCGTAAATGAACTGCAGATTTTATTTTCTGCATTGCTAACGAAATTGTAACTCGCCCTTACCTCTACACCTACCACTACAAGCAAAATAAGAGTTCAAAATAACATGCGCATAGCGAAGCTACATTTACGTCCAGAAGCAAAACAAGGAGCCATCTCAGCATTTGCTCAATGGATCAGGGAAACTGGACAAAAACCTGATCGAGATGGGGGTCATTGACCCGGAAGATGATGTACATTATTTGTTAAAAGCATATTAAGTCTTTTATTTAAATATACAAAAGAAGTGTAAACTAATTTATTATTTATCATTGTTTTGTTAAAATAAATATTAGTTTCCTTTATGATGATCAGTATAGTCTTTAATTGTATAGAAACAGTTACGTAACAGAAAAGATTTTACTTTTAACATAAATGCGTGTACCGGCTTCAATTGTTTAATGTCATATGTTGTGCCAATGGCAGTGCGTTGTAAAGTAATGTACATGTATTGTATGTGGATTTCTGGTAGTGAGCTGTACATACTGACACTTGATGAACGTGATTTCTACGACGCGTGTTGTAATTATAAATATCAGTATTGCATGAAAATATGTTCCGACCGTTAAGTAAGTCAGTTTTGACAAATATTACAGATTCGTCAATAGACAAGGAAATGGTAAGATTCCAAGCTCAATAAAGAGAGGCTTGCAAGGATCATGCTCATAACATTTTTTCGTTATTCGAATAATTTTCTTTTGCAGTCTGAAGGTCTGGGTACTACATGATGAGCTTCCTCAGAATATTATGCCATATCTCAGGCGGGAATGAACATTTGTAAAATACACGCAACGAGCTGCATGAAGGCTGACAGAATTTGAAAGAATTCTGAATGCGTAACATAATGAACATAATTTAGTGTTTAATTCTGTTATATGTACATTCCATTTGAGGTTTGACTGAATTGAGAGACTTAGAAATGTTGTGACCTTAACATCAGCTAATTGCATATTGTTCATTTTCAATGGAGCATGCTATTGCTGATTTGAAATACAAAAATGCATTGAAACTGTTTTCCTTCGTTAACTGGTAATTTGTTATTACAAAACCAATTGGAAACTTCTAAAATCGTACTATGTATTGTTTCTTTTTTGCAAAGATCTTTCGTGTAATCGGCAAATAGAACCGTTCTTCCGTTTTTAATAGATGAGGGCATATCGTTTACGTATAACAAAAAGAGAATAGGACCTAAGATCGAACCATGCGAGACCCCATATTCAATAGGTAAAGAATTGGAAAGATAAGTAAATAATGTCCTTTCGCGCCAGTACGATATTTCTATTCTTTGAGATCGATGTTTCGTGTAAAAACGTAAAACGATTTCGTGTAAAACGGTTTAGTAATCAGTGAATCAATTATTAAAATTGCAAATACATTTTCAAATATAATTTTTAAAAATTTAAAAAAATAATTATATTCATACAAATATCAAATTCTTTATTAAATTACTTTAGATATATTTTTCATTCAATGAAACCATTTTATACAGAAAATCACTATCAATTCATTAATTTTTAGTAATTATTTTTATGAAAATAACTTGTGGAGATCATGATCACATAACCCCAATTTTACTTGAACCCTATAAGGTATTTCAGTGTATATCACATAAAAATCTTGAAAGTTTGATAAAGGACAGGTTTAGCGATGCTGTATATTCACATGACTTCAAGCTTACACCAAAAGATACGAACAGTACCCCCCAAAAGTTTAACCAAAACATTTATTCGTTATTAATTGTATACAAAGAAACATGATATAAAATGATGATGATATAAAATTACATTAATTACAATACTATTCAAATTTTCCCAAACCGAACCCACCACATTTAATGATACATCTCTGTACACGCTCTTGTCCCGTACGTTATCAAAATACAGTTCTTTCCACTTAATCTTGTAGGTATCAACATTATCGGAAAAAATCTGTGAATTTTAAGTTAACAAGTCCCCTCCAAAGTGAACTATGTCAATCAAAATGTTTAATACTGGCCAGCCTTTCTTTCAGAAAGTTCTTAATTCCTTGTTCAATATGACACAAATAATTATTATTCTCCATGCAAATAGTGAGAATATTTTGTTGTATTCATCTTGCGTTGTTAAATTATATTACTACTGGGGATATAAATTATAATTTGCGAATGTGACGTTTGTCTCCACATCATTTCGTCGAGGAAAAAATAATTCGATTTCTAAATTTATTTCATTTTCCATTCGATTATTTTCGAGCACGGATACTGCAGTTTACATTTTTAGTAAGATCTAAAATAATTTCTAGCTCATAAAATCAAATTATTTTTCAATTATGATTTGCAATACACGATTCGAAAACCAAATCATGTAAGCAAATAATTATTGATGAAATTATTTCACACAAAATAAAAATATTGTGTCATTTTCTTCCTCGATTTTTTAAGAATGAAAAATCATGTAACCTTTATTAATAAAGACACAATTAAAAGTTTTCTTTGCTTATTAAAAGTTTCTCACAGAAGTTCGAAATCAGAAATCTGCTTCAATTTTACTGTATGTTATGCATAGTACATTTCTTAAGCTTTATCAACTTTGACTTCTTTACCATAATTAATTATAATTATTTTATAAATTCAAAGTATGTGTTTACTATATCTCTTTACCTTGTGTAGCGCAAATACTTATGAAAATTATGCTCATGAATCTACTTGTCTTGTACTTCCCGCTTGAAAAAAAGTATGAAAACTCACTGTAAATATAATTGGATAAAAGTCAATTGAATACAGTTAAATAGAATGAGACTTTCAAGATTGTTTGTGAATTCACGTTTTCACGAAAGTTTTTATTCAAGAAAGAAAATCGACTTTATTTCTAACTGGCAACATTGCCTCCTCCATCGCTTAAGGGCCCGGGATGGCGCGTATAGACTCGCTGGCTAACATAAACAAAAAGTGTACAGTGTTGCCATATTGCAGCTTCATGATTCGGCTACTGGATTTTCGTTTCTGGCGGGAGGAGTGTTAGAAAGAGATAGAAGAGACGCAGAGCGCAGAGGGGCTGCGGAGCGTGTCGGCCGGGCCTGTGCGCAGAGAAGTGAGCAATAATGTAAAGGAATGTTTATTCCGCCACCTTCAAAACATATATTTAAACGTTTGGAATGTATTAGAGTAAGACAGGAATGCCAATGTTTTTCATTTGCAATATTTTCTCGAAAAATAATATAATTATTTACTTGTAGGCCTACCGAATTGATAAATGCATTTCGAAGTACAAGCATTCGAAAGGAATTTCCTTTTTCTTCAAAAAATTATTTTCTTTTTTAAATATTGCCATTCGTGTAGATTAGTATTTTAAGAATAATTGCTACAGGTTTTCGAAATTACCCATAATTGTATACTGTTCCTAAAGATTTTCTTTGTAAATGCGCCTGTTCAAAACATTCTACATGCCATAACATCACCTATCCGTCGATATGTATTTTACTTTACCCATGTAATAAAATTATATTTATTATTCAATATATTTTTTTGTCTTGGGTGTTGAATTGCAATATCTTTCGATCTCATGTTTTATCCATAAGGAACGTAATTTATTTACTTTAAAACTCGTATTTCTAAAAATATAAGTCTCCTGAAGGATGTTTTACACTCGACAAATGTGTGATATTGATTTAAAGGCATGTCGGCGTTTGATAGTACGACCGTGCATTGGGGTTCCCATGCACGTGAGGTACTAATTTGGCAACGTTGCATCGTGGCGCGGGAGCGAGTCTGGGACGTCGAACATGAGGTCGGTTGTCTCCAAGTCGGGAGCGAGCTAGTGCGATCCGCGCCGCAGAGCAAAAACTTCGGCAAAAATTCTGTGCTGTGAAACGCAGAGAAGCTTCTCTATAGATGGCTCTTGCGTCTTCAGGTGGAATCCCGTGTGTCATTTTGTGTTATTCAGTGGTGCAGCGAATGGTGTTGCTGTATTTTAAGAAATATTGTAGATCTGGTGAGTTATTTCTGTTAGTAAGAGGAATGTTTCTTGGATACCGTCTTGAATGGCTGCAGTGTGTCGGTGCCGAGTATGGCTGAGGTGCATTTGTGAAGCACCGAAACCTTGTTTATTTTTGACAATTTAATGTGACAGTTCGCAAATTGCAGTGATATAAATTCTTTATTGATGAAATCATTATTTTATATTGGTTTTGTTACTTAGTGTTTCTTGGTTTAACTCATTTCTCGAGTAATGGGCAGTTGCTTATTGACCGCCTAAGTAGAACTTGCTGTGGATCAAACATTGTTTTTAAGAATCTGTGGCGACTCCAAAATACTTCGATGAATTACTTTTAAAACTAAATATTTCTAATGAGTACAATTTTTCACGTATTATTGGAGGTTAGAAACAGATAATGTCAATCGAAAATTAAATAAATGTCAGTGATTTAGGAAATTTCAAGCATGTGTTATGATTCAATTTTATGAAATTTTCAGATTGAATTTTTGGCCAAATGGGGCTTACTGCAGGTCGTCATGCCATTGTGGCTGGGTGATTATTTTACTCAGTGCAAGGTGACAAGGTGCTGTCATGGCAATAAATTTTTCAGCATCATTTGCAGCATGCCTTGCTGCAGGGCTCAAGGTTCCTCGGCAATTTATGTACTGCATTGCCCAAGGTAAGGTGATTCATCTTATATGGTTTATTTATCAGTCGAATAAGTGCATGTGTAATTTGATAAAATGAGAATTCTATCCAGTGCATTCGCATTAACTCTGTATGTTCAAATTGTTTACTAGTGTAAGCAAAATATATCAAACAAATACCTATCAACATATAAAAGCTGTGGTTTTGGTTCTGAATGTTCTTAATTACAGTGTTGATGGTAAAACAAGCATGATTTTTTCATCAACCTTCTGTAATAAGTAATATGCTTTTACAAGTCCTATAATTGAAATTAAAATGTTCAAGAAATGCCTTTCATAATCATAATGCATCTTTAATGCAACAATTATTTCCTATGTACTATTAAGTGTACAATTTTTATTAATTTATTTTTTTGCAGACACTGGAACTCCCTATGTGCTGTATAAAGATGGCATGGATCGGCCCCAGGGGCAACCCACTCAGTGGGGCCCAGGGACTCCTCAAGATGGGGGTTATCCACAAGTGCCATCGGCATCGGGTAGCCCTCAGCAACAGTGTGGACCAGGAGAGCCTGATGCCTCACAAGGCATTACTGTTAGAGAACAGCAACAGCAAAGCACAATGACTTCTCCTGTACCTTCTCCATATGCTCCACCTCAACCCACACCACAAGAGCAACAACCTCCACCTCCTCAACAACCCACTCCACAACAACCACCACCCCAACCACAACAACCTCCTCCTCCTCCTCCACCCCAAGCCTCTCAGCCACCAAGCCAACCACCGCCTCAGGCGCACTCTGGAGAAGATGATCCTGCGTCACAGCAACAAGTACAGCAAGTTCAACAACAGCAGGTGGCTCAGCAACAAGTGCAAGTGCAAGTGCAGCAACAAGTGCAGCAAGTGCAACAGCAACAACCTCAACCGTCTCCTGGTCAACCTCCCCCACAACCACCTCCTCCCCAGAGTGTGGTTGAAGTGGAACAACAACAACAGCAGCAACAACAACAACAGCAACAGCAGCAACAACAACAACAACAGCAGCGTGCTGTCCAGTGCTTTCCCCCTGGACCTGGTCAAGATATGCAGCAGCAGGCTGTGTATGCTGCACAACATTATTTTAAAGATGCAAGGGCTCACCACACTCCAGGAATGTCTCCACATATGCTGACACCTGGAGGATTTACTGCTTTGCATTATTTGAAGCAGCCAGGTGTAATGTTGACATCTTTAGGACCAATGGGAACGGGTGATGGAAATGGGGGACAATTAGGGGATGGGAACGGAAACGGTCATCCATATGTTACAGGTGGCACCATGCAGGACATGCGTGCTGCGTCATTACCTGATATTATTCAGCAGCAACAGCAACAAGCTCAAACAGTTGGTGGAAAGGTAGGGAAAGGGGCAAATGGTGAGCTGAGGTTATTTAAGTGCTTGACGTGTGGAAAAGACTTCAAACAGAAGTCAACATTGCTCCAACATGAACGAATCCACACAGATAGTCGCCCTTATGGTTGCCCCGAGTGTGGAAAACGTTTCCGCCAACAATCTCATTTGACCCAGCATCTCCGCATCCATGCCAACGAGAAGCCATATGCGTGTGTTTACTGCGAGCGCACCTTTCGACAGCGCGCCATCCTGAACCAGCATCTGCGCATCCACTCGGGTGAGAAGCCTTACCAATGCCCAGAGTGTGGGAAGCACTTCCGCCAGAAGGCCATCCTCAACCAGCACGTCCGCACACACCAAGGCGAGCGCCCTCCTCCTTTCTCTCTGCCAGTCGACAACAGCGCGGGGAGTTGTAAAGTTGACACAAAGTTGGCCGTGCTCTTAACAATCTGTAGTAATCAGAATCTCCTTCGTTTGCTGGGCCACTCGAAGCCTCTACAGCCCGAGTAAATGTAATTAAGACTGTACTGTGGCTTTCCATTTGGCTGTTTTTTGTGTCAGGGTTTTTCAAATTTGTTGAATGACTGTGTAGATCAAATATCTATTCTCTAAGTGCATTGTAGTGTGGGTTTCCTTTTCAAAAGGATAGTCTGTCAGTTAATTTTCGTTATTATTGCTTGAATTTGATTTTTCAATGGTTCATTTGCAAGTTTTTAGAATAGTTAAAAAGGAATCTTGCTGCTTGCTTCATTGTTGTCAGTTTATTTTTAACGTTCAATACTTGTTTACAATTCTTTGGCTTATAATGGTCTATATGGTTTGTTTTGTGTGCGTTGATTTGTTTTTACAGACGTGAGTCCTCACCTGGTGTTCAAGAATGGAATGACTCCCACTCTGTGGCCGCAAGATGTCCCTTATCCCCCCGAAGCGGAGAAGGATGATGGAGCTTCAACGTTTGGAGGTGGAGAGGATGGAACAGCTCAGCAGACAGACCAGGCTCGTGGCAATGGTCAGTGCTTTTCTCCAGACAGTGCTGGCAATCTGCAGCAATACCCTGCGTATTTTAAAGATGCAAAGGGGATGAATCATTCAGTGTTTGGTGGTGGGGGTAATTTTGGGCCTTTGCAGTACTTGAAACCAGGCCAAGGAAAGGGAGGGTGTTTGCCTGATGTGATTCAACATGGTCGAAGTGCGGGAATGCCGTTGTATGTGAGATGTCCCATTTGCCAAAAAGAATTCAAGCAGAAATCTACTCTTCTGCAGCATGGTTGCATTCACATTGAATCTCGTCCTTATCCCTGTCCTGAATGTGGTAAACGTTTCCGACAGCAATCTCACTTAACCCAACATCTGCGAATTCATACAAATGAAAAACCATACGGATGTGTATATTGTGGTAGGAATTTCCGGCAACGTACAATTCTCAATCAGCATTTGAGGATCCACACTGGTGAAAAACCATACAAGTGTGGTCAGTGTGGAAAAGACTTTAGGCAAAAAGCAATTTTAGATCAGCATACAAGGACTCACCAAGGGGACAGACCCTTTTGTTGCCCTATGCCGAATTGTCGGCGAAGATTCGCCACTGAACCAGAAGTCAAGAAGCACATAGACAACCATATGAATCCACACGCTGCCAAGTCTCGTAGAAACAATTCTACTCCAGTGGAAACTAAGCATCACCCAGGAACTCCAATGGCCACTGACCGTGGACCAACTCTTCTTACACGGAGTATTCCTCCTACTGCTGTCGTAAAACCAGAACTATATTTTCCTCAGTGTTATGCCCCTACGTTCAATCACCAACCTCCAGGTCCAGGGACACAGTTTTCGAATACTCCAAACCCTGCTGCTGCAAATGCTCCAGAGTTTAAACCATCACCTTCAGCTCTGCCCACCCAGTGACTAACTGTTTCCTTGTAAGGATTTCAATTTTGCACAACCAAGACAGCAGTAGAAGGACCTCTGTATGAAGCTGGTCTTAGACTGGCTGAATAGTATGTGATAGTAATAATTTGCCAAGATTTTAAATCAGGATGGTACTGTAAATACTATTAGAAACATAGTGTCTTGCACTCGAAATGATAGCTATGCTATACATATATTAATATATATGTATACATATATGTGTATATATGTATCACATATATGCAGATATATATCTACATGATAGATGCATACATATAATCAATAACTTTTATATTAATGCCATAGTAATATTGCTTTATTGGGGAAATGAGTGATGACAGGGAGCATGGAGGACTTAATATAAAGTAGGCGATATATTTTAGGCAAATTTGTGCCAGCTACTATTGCTGTTGTGGAGGGAAATAGCAAGCCAGCATCGATTGTTGTTCTTTTATTGATAGGTTCAAGTTGCAAGTTCTTTTTGGAATCTATATTGTGATTTTAGAGCAAACAGACTTACTCAGTGAAATAAATGTCTGCAGATAAGTATTTAAAATGCATCACATGATGGCCTATATTTCATTTTAAAGAAAAACAATGATCTCATTTTGGTGTTTTTAAGTTTCATGTTAGTGTATTTAAGATGTTGGTTGCAGTTTTACTCAAGCTACTTTCCCTCCAATTGAAAAGTTGTTTTAGAAGTGTCTTGTACAGGCACAATTGGAAGAGATGAACTTTCTCTTTGTTATATACAATATAGGAGGGATCTTTTAATTGTCAAACTTAAAATACGTAATTTATCTATGTTTGTCAGAAGTGGCCTCTGCTCACTGGTCAGTTGCAGTTAGAGAATGGCCATACAGGGTCCTGGCTTTTAAACAGAGTGACAATTGAATTATGTATACCATACTTGTGTACAGATATGTCGCCATGTGATTTTTAAAATACTTTTACCAATTTTTTTAAATATTAAGAGTGCATCAGATTGTATATTTCTAGTGTTTTATTTTGTATACATATCTATAGTTGAAGCTTAGTTGTCCAGATTCACATGTTTGGCATTTCTAGGTAGCAGAACCACATTTTTTAATGAATGTATTTTGTGTCTGTACCTGCAAATTTTAATATTTATATTTGTTTTTAATTTTTATTTCCTCCTTTAAGATTTTGTATAAATGTACAACATTCAGAATCTCAATGAGTAAACTACATTGATATTGAGTACACATATGATGTGATCTTTATGCTATTATTAAATGTATGGCGCTTCCTAAATAATCTGCTCTTGCTGCATTGTGTTGTATTTTGGTGAAAGCAAATGAGTTATGGTGGGGCTGACCAATGAATTAATTCTATTTTCTAAGATTTTTTTATGTGTGGTTTTGTTACACTAAACTGAGCAGCCACAATGAATAAATAGATGGAAGAGTGGTGTGTATATTAGTGAAATACAATGGCATATATGAGGAAGTAGTGTTGACTTGTTCTGATATAGATTTTACAGAGAGAGATGAAGTTACAGAAAAATCTGCTGTTATCTGTTTTATCCTGAAGATTTTTAATGTTGACATTTTGGTATATCCACCATTGTGCTTGAATGAACAGTTAAACTACTTAGTAGTTTGGAGTAATGAATTTTGAATGGGTGTTGAGCATCCCACAGTCTTGGTAGAGAAATCTTTGCTTCACTAAACTAACTCAATAGATTTTTTTTGTTTCTTATAAAATCATATTTTTTGAAAAATGTGTAGTTTGCATCATTTTCATATTTTATCGTCCCTAAACAACAATATAAATATTGTTATTTTAAATTCATTGTAAATGAATTATTTCAGTGCAATATCATTTAAAGCTTTATTTCAATCAGACTTGCCCCCTCAGCAATCGTTTTCTATGACATATGTAGTGCAATAGTGTTAGTGGTGCTGTTTATTTTATTGATTTTAGATCATTATTGAACCTGTTAGTTAGAAAAACATTTTTAAAGATGGCTTTCAAACATGTATCAACCTTCATTACTCGGGATGTATGTAGGGATTACAAATGTTTACTGTATTTTCAGGTAGAGAATAATTTACAGTCATATTCATTGCTGAGTTGTTCCGGTACAATAAATATCTTTTTCATATGCCTATTTTTTACTTATTTTAATCTCTTGGTGCTGCTTAGTGTGGTGAGGAAGAATTGAATGGTTGTGGCTGCAAATGTTTAGTACGAAATGCCAACCTCATCATACAAGCTTTTTAAAATAAAAATTGACTTCATTAGCTGCCAGTGTGTTCTGTGTGAATTGCCACTTGTTTGTTCATAAAGTTAATTTTGTAGGCTTCTTTGTATCTAATATTTTATTGCATCAAATGTTCATTTGGTTACATTTTTCCTGGTTTCTTGTGCTAAGGTCTAAATATTTTGTGCTTCACTTTCTCCCTTAACTGTAGACCGCCAACACAGATACTGTATCCACGGTGCATTGTTGAGCAGCTCTTGAAGTCAATTGCAAAATACATCACAGGGAGCACGATGTTACACTATTTTTGCTCTCTACATTGTCCATATATCAACTAATTTAGAATGATTGTGTGAGTGTTTTTAAAACGTGTGATTTAGGAAGGATGCTCATGACATTTTCCTTGTATACATACTGAGCTATACGAGTTTTGATGCTGTTGTAGAGGCAGCTCCCAGGTGTAAATGGACTGATAGCTCTCTGTGATAGTTTCTGCCATTTTACTAGGAAGTATAGTTGAAAACTTCAATACATATTGGTGCTGACAGAGATTTATAGCTGTAAATAATTTGTATAGGAACGAGTCGACAAAAGACACCAATTGTTCTAAATTTCTTTGTTACAGTATTGAGTAAGTGTAAATGGGTAAATCTTCGTTATGACACTGAGTGTTTCTAGGGGAAATCTCTGGCTGCAAACAGAAATTCTTGAACGCTTGTAAATTTTGTATGTTTGTTTTGAATAGTGTCTTAATACCTTACATATTTGAACATGTGTACCATTTTTATGACAACAGGATGGTTGGAGCTGTTCTTGCTGGGACAAGTGGTTTTTGTTATATAAATCTGAGTAATCATAGATTTCTCAAATGTTGTCATTTGTAAAGTCAAGTTTAAAGGTGACAAATCCATTATTTGTTAATTCAGATAAAGCATTTTGTGTTAAGCACTTGCTTTGTTTGTAATTTTTTTTTTTTAATATATATATGAAACTATAGATTACATGCTCCACCTTGTGTCTGTTGTTGTAAATGTATTATAATTCAAAATAATTTTATTGAAAATAAACATGTGTCTTTATACTGTATTGTTTAAAAAAGAAAATCCAGCTGTATATTGGCTTATGACTATGTTATGTACTTGAACTTGGGAGCTGTCAATCCAACATTCATCTACGCTGTGGGTATGTCCCAATTCTTGTTCAATTATACTTGCTTTACTAGGTTATACAATCATTCTAGTGCCCTTGACAATGTATGTTAATAAAAATATAAAATGTTTTTTTCCCAATGTGGGTCACAATAATATTTCTGATAGTGCCAATTGTAAAATTTGTCAATTCTGATCTATTTTGTAATGTACTCTGTGAATATATCTTTTACTAGGTTACTCTTGTCATCGACATGACAGGAGTAAGAACAGAGGAAAAGCTACAGAAACCTTGTACTGGATGCTGGTTGTTCGGAATTTAGAATAAACAAGCATCCAAATATTGCTCAGCCTTGTCACGACATTCAACTCAAATACTATAGTATAAAATGCTGTAATATGAAGGTTGTCTAAAATAAGACAAAATGGCTCGGGCATGAATGGAACTGTTGTGACATGTTGGGAGATTGGCAGTAGGATCATGATGTCATTAGATCTGGAGAGGCAGCTAGAATACATCTGTGTATAACCTAGTCGAAAGTTCAGAGGTAACACTGTCCAATCAGTCTTCTGTAGAATACAGTTCTCAAATAATGATCTGAGATTTGTAAATTGTTAGTCATTTTTTGAGTACTTTTAATTTTTAAAATGTTTTTAGTTTAGATAAATGTATCTTATTTAATCATACTACTTGCAAGAAATTTTTACATAAACAATTACATATTCAACTATAATTCCATTTCCCACTTTTGTGATGTTCCTATGCATTGTTGAACTGTAATAAAACAGTTCAATAAAAGTTCCTGTCAGTGATGAAGTACATAATTCAGTAACAATGAATGCAGGAAGCAAATCTCAGTAATTATTTAGCAAAGCAAAAAGACTGTTGCAATTTTATTTGTATTGAAGTGTAAACAAGTGAATTCTGAGGTTTAACCTTTTATCATGTGGAAGTGGAGTCCCCATTTTTAAAAAAATTGCAGTTACGAGTAGTGACCAGCAATGCTGCACAGGGACTTGCTTTTATTCTTTGTTATTTGTCTTAAAGCTTGTTTCAGTGTTTACATCGGGTGTTTTATTCAGTAGAAGAAACATTTTTGGCATTCATAGATGGTACCCCAAACATCTTCTGATAAAACATTGGAAGTGATAGGGCATTGAGTGAAAATGAGATGGTAACTCATCTGACATAAAAAGAGTGATCTTTTAAACTTTCATTACCTTAACAATAAATTTATGTTGAATATTAAATTAATATCATCTTCCTGGTATAGTACATATACGTTTTGTCTTGAAATACTAGTGAAATTTTCAATATCGTACAATTTCTCTCACGGAAGATTTCTATGTTAATTCATAAGTATCTACCATCTCATTCTGTTTCAATGCAAACATCTATGTAAAATACTATTATTTTGTAAATTTGTAACCAACCAAGACAATCTCCAATGACCGTGTTATACACCTATACCTCTACAAGTCTCGTTTCCATAATGCTGTTTTAAAATTGTCCTAGCCTATAAATAATTCAAGAAGGCCACTGAGGTCAATCAGTATTGTCTCATCTTGCCATCACATTATTGTGAAAAAATTAGTGGAAATAAAACAAATTTACTTTTATTTGTCAGTTATTTAGATGCAGAATACCCACTTTGTACTTTTCTTTGTGTAACGAACTATTAGAAATATATCTGAGAGCAGACCAGTCTTACAACTCAAAATAAATTTCTTGAGTATACAAGGTTTCTTTCCAAATTTATTTTAATTAAAGATATCTTCACCCTGTAAGCAAGCAGCCAAGGAACTGAATGTGTTAAGTTCTTATTTGGAAACATGAAATATCACTCATTTTCATCTTCAGTGTTTTCTCAATATAGTTACATATTGAACTTAAATTTTGCTTGCATATTCTTCACATAACATTAAAACCACAATCAAGACAGCCTAAAATAAATTTTCTCACTGTATTTTCTTCCCCTCTACTTTAAACGTCAATCAGTAGTTCTGGTTTTCTCAGAGCTGGAATTTCAGTTCTCTTATATTGCATTGGTTGTGTAAGGAGTTCAGTTGTAGTTGGGAAGAGAACAGTTCAATAATTATTTTATGTCCAACATGGTTTTTACTTATCCTCTGCATTTTTAATACATATTGAATTATTTAAAAGTTCCTATTGCAAATATATATTTTATATACTTCCTTTCATGCTGCTTAAATGAAACGAGATTACTAGTTATGTTCTTTACTGGAGAATTTTGCGAATGATTACAAAATTTCTGTGTATAGTGATATTGTCAAAATGATATTAAGAAAATTTGTGTAATGCTCCTCATTTTTGATAAAACATCCTTTGTTTATCAGATCACTAAAAATTTTACATGAACAATATTTCCCATCAATTATAATAGAGCAATTATTTCTAAGACATTCAAAATATTGGATATTGTAAATGGTCTTCTTACTCATTCTCCAAAAATTTTGTAGAATGTAGAAAACAGAACAAACAAAATTACGAAGCACTCTTCTTGTTTAGAGCCCTGAGAAAACTGAGATTTCATTTTAGAAAGTTATCCGAACAATCAGAAACAAATTTTCCCGTGATATGTCTATTTAAATCATACCATATCATTAATTTTCCCACTTCTTTCTAATATTAGTATTATTCAGTAATGATCCACGATTTTAACTAAATTTGTTTTCCACTATGTTCTACTTCATGGAATTTTTGCAAATGCTCTACATTGAAAGTGATTTATGAATGTTCTTGGATAGTTTTATAGAATTTTTTGTTTAACATTTATAGTAATATAAAAAGTGTTCCAATTTTGACAAATACTGAAAAAGTAAGAAAACCTGTGTCTTAGAAATAATTTTGTTCCATGATGAAGCCTTTCAACAGTTTAGTAGAAACCATTTCAATTCAACAAATTGTCTTTCTAATAAATATTAATGTGTCAAACATCATATTTCACTTGTAAATGTAATGAAGCAAGTAGCAAGATGTAGAATGTTCTAAACAAATCAAATTGTATTGAGATTGTTTTTATTATTATGTATTTCATTGTAACTCCTGGTTTCAACAACTTCAAAATAATAAACATTGCAGCCTTCTGAAAAAGGCTTTGAGTTCACTTTTGAATCCCTTTGTAACAATAATAAATTAATCACAAGCTGTCTCTTCTCCTTTTTTATTATTAGTTCAATAAATAGTTGACTAGAAAATAAAAGTTTCAATTTCCTAAAGCAAATTAAAAAAATTGGTCTTCATTATAGGGCAGATCTAAAAGAATAGTGTGTGATGTACTTCAAGGAAACATTCCATATTAAAATTTCAAATAAATATTTATTGAGAAACACTGCACCCTTTCAGTTAATTTTTCTAATGTGATTTATAGATTGCTGTCTTTTACTAATAAGAAGATCCATAAATGCCATAACCAACAACAATGCTTGACCCATATTTTCTTTTTCTACACTTTCTTGTGACAAGTATTTTTGTTTCAGAGTCCAATCAACATCAATAGGAGAATACTGAGGACAAGTTCCTGTATGTCCAGGGATGTTAACAATGTTCATTACAGTCTGCTCAACTGCAACTTTTTCCCTTCCTACAAGTGTTGATGACAACCTGGCAGCAACTTGAAACTGAAGAAAATATACTTTGTTGAAACCTTCTTCTGAAACATGTATCATGAGTGAATTACTGATATTCCTCGATGACTTATTGTCATATATGAAAATGTTACTTTCTGGACTTACCAGATCCCTCAGAAGGTATTTCAAACCCATTCAGAAACGCTAACAAGATTGCTCTGAACTGCAACATGGACACATTTGCAATAAAAGCTCCCGAGGTAGACTGTCTAGATTTGCTCATCTCTTCAAGAACATACACATTGGATTTTGGAAGGCAATTAGTAATTTGAAGAATCTAAAAATGACAATGTTAAAATAACTTGTGAATTGCACCATTTCTAATCTTCAGTATTAGTCACAAGTTTATTACCGTCTTATAAACTGTCATAAGATGTACTTTATCTGTTTCTTGGACTATTTGTTTCACTTCCCATTCCAAAAGCTTCCTTGTGCAAGACATTTTGGCCCATGATATTGCAGAATTAGTTATATGAAAACTGGATACAGTTTCCAACCCCTATTAAATACATTTACTTCATTATTATTACCAACTACAATAATTACATTTTACTCTGATAATTATCATTGAAACTACTATACCTTAATAACCCGATCAGATAATTTAGGATATAATTTTGTTACATCTTGTCTTTTTGTTTTCTTCTGTAAGTCAATTTCCGTACCTAATGTTGCAGCTTTTGAATGGATTTGAGAATAGCAGCCCATCTTGAAACGAGCTGTTTGGCAAGTACTAATACTTCTCAATACTTCTGGCAATGCATTGGAAAGGACTCTCTTACTCATGCCAATTGTAAAATCACTAAATATTCTTACAGATATAGTGGGATCTATAAAATAAACATAGTTTTGATTATGAAAAACTAACTTCACGTGCTATAAATGTGCTTACAATTGGCATCTACACACAATAAATTTACACATTTAAACAATTCAAAAGACAATTGAGACTGCCATCACTATATTCAACTAGGGCATTTAAATGCACTCAGTGCCACACCACGAACGTTGTATTCGTATAGATACATGTTGAGGTTATAATATGCTTATTTTCATTAAAGCAACAACACACCAAAGACAAAAATTACGATTGGCAATGCCCTACTTAAGCAACATTATAAATTCAAAGTAAACTGTTCAATGTTCTCAAACACCCTACCATACCAAATAAAAAATTCCTTTAAAACTGTAGCCTAATCGCCGTCATATCAGCGCGGCCCATCGCGGTACATCATACCAAACCTTATGAACGATGATGTAGTTTTTATGACATAATATGGTTATGAAAACAAATCTCATATATTTTTTGTTATACTTCGTGATGGTAGTATAACAAAATCTACCGTATTTTCTATTCTTTCTAGTTATTATACTAACCACGTGTTATTTTTCGGCGATTACGTCTTCGCACCTTGGTATCAACCAAAGAATACACAAATGGTGCAGAGAATAGTCAGGTGAAGTTTGTAACTATAATGTTCTAAAGCTAAATCTTGTGCACTCTGGCGAGAGTGAAATCATTAGAGAAAATCAAAAACCATCAATAAACAGTTAGGAATTTGTCTCAAGAATGCAAGTATTTACTGTAAATGTGTTATTCCGACTAATATACTGCGCGAACCGACTGAAATCTCATATTCAGTGCTTTACTGCTTAAGGATACAGCTATCATGCGACACCAAGGTTCCAAGAAAGAGACCGCCCGTCATTAAATATTTGCTATTGCTACGTTTTGTAATAGTATACTATAATATTTTATTGATTCACATATGCAATTACAATTGTGTGTGACGTGAATAATAATAATAATAATAATAATAATAATAATAATAATAATAATAATAATAATAATAATTAAAAAGTTTCTGTTTTCACTGAAAAAAGATAAATAATGAAGTAACGTTCACGATACTGCGCGGAGCAGGGTTAGGCTACTTTGGCTGAGGACTGGTAGTTCATTGCCTCATTAGAATACAGTCTATATAACTAATTATGTATGAGCGTAGAAATTCAGAGAAAACTTAGCAACCTATGTCCATGTAAGAGGATCAGTCATTAGACACCAAAGAACTCGAAAAAAATAGAAGGTAATAATGAAACTTTCATTTTTGTCTAAAATATAAATGTTTGAAGGTGCTATTTTCACTTTTCTCATACTGCGCATACCGATAAAATTATAATACTTAGTGCGTCACTACTTAGAACAGTTCTGACGTTATTCAACAACAAAACTCCCAGGAAAAGGCCGGTCTCCATTAAATTTTTGTCGCGTTTTGCGTTATGAGACTGCCTTACATAGAGACTGAATGTTATTGCTTGACACACTCGTCAAGAATTGCTGAGCCTTCTCTAGACGAGTTAGTATCCAGGTTTATTGCAGTTAGTGACCGTTGCAGATCAATATGCAGTCCAGTCAGCTTTACAAAATTGATAGTGTGGCGTACCGTTCGAGCCCGCAAGGCCTACAGTACGGGCGGACCCAGGTCAGAGAACCCACTGTTAGGCTGAAGGTGTTTCGGCTGTAGTAATTACTTGATACGTTGCGATAGTTTATACAATAAAAGATTAAAAATAGCATTATTCAGAGAACGATTTTTTTCCCGCTTCGGTAGCTTATGTAATCCTGTTTCTAAATCAATAAAGGTAAGCAATTCAGTTAGGTTCTATAACTGTCTTAATTTAAACAAAAATTAAATAATAAAGTCAGACTTTTCCACTATTAGTTATTAGTCATAAAGTGATGAATTCGAATCTGTTAAAGGATTTTTTTTAGGGTACTAACATTACTTTTGTTTGCTGTAAACTTTTATAAAGAAGACGCGGATATAAGTTTTGCGGGCAGGCCCACACTCATTTCGTTACGCCCACACGTTTTCGTTCTGAATATATATGTTAGGGCTAATGGCCGAATCTGGCTAGCGAAATAGCTGTTAATGTTCACATCCAAAATAGGAGGATAAAGTCCGAAGAAGAAACAGCTTCAAAGCTAATTTCCGATGAAGACGGGAAGACGAAACCAAAACAGATTGGGGGGGGGGGGGGGCGAAGGAAAGAATTAGCGTTAGACTAAGAGAAATCCCTGTTTTATGGAACCAATGACATTTATTACTTTATTTTCTTTTAGGGACCTTCAGCTATTGTACATTCAACATACAATTTCACCAAATTAGGAATTAGAAAACAATTTATTTCCAAAATATATACTATCGCTTAAATCATGCTACGATTTTTTCCAAAATTGAAGAAAACCCCTGTCTACTGCTTCGAGTCGAGAAACTTTGAGATTTTGAAAAAAGCATTCTTCAAATTTGCGAGACTTTACATTTTTCGAAGCCCTCCGGACATTTTCAAACTTTTTGGCAAAAAAGGATCCAGTTTTTCTTTTTATTCATGAATAATAGAGTAAATACACTTAAAATATGATAAATTCGATTTTCACGGTTAAAATCTGAATTTTCAAAATTTCAAAAGTATGTTGTTTTCGGTGTCTTCCTACAACTACAAAATTAAAGATATAGAGCTTTTCCTTTCAATTACAATTTGGAAACGCTACACCATAGTGAGTTCTTCCATTTATGCACAGTTTTTATAGTTTAGTAGTCCTTCGCGCAATATTGCCGTAAATATGTGCCATTTGGGTAAAAATTACAAAAACAAAATTTTATCTATTGAACGTTTCAAATTTGTTTTTTTCTTTTAAACTTTTGTGAAGATAGTTGCCAAGCTTGCTACTATTAAGGTGACATTACAAGCTATTACTTTATTCAAAAAAATTTCAAAATTTTGTAATTTTTGACGTTGTTTCTATAACGTCGTTAATATTTTACAGACTGGTGGCAATTTGTTAACACTTATTATATTTATAGAATAAATAATAGATAAAGGCTTAAATCAATGTCATGCAAATTTTGTGCTTGGAAAACTCAAGTTTTCTGTTAAAATTAGCCTCAAAATTACTCATTTTTCAGAAGCTCTCAAATGGCGTTTTCTCAAAAATGGACTCAAAATTGTTTCTTTACAACTGTTTTTTGAACAGATAGGGCAGAAATTGCAATCCCTTATTATGACCGTAAAGTCATTCCCTGTTTTATTTTTAATTACACAAATGTATTTGCCGTGAATATGCACATTTCCAGCAATTTGTATTACACTATTGTGTTTGTGAGTTTAAAGTTTCAAATGACTTCTAATAATTTTTCGAAAACTCAAAAAATTTCTGTGAAAGAGTACTTCAAAATTTCCAATTTACAGCAGCCGCTTAAACACCATTTTCTTAAAAAAGCGCTTCAAATTTTTCCAAGAAATTACATTTAGGACGAGATTTTACTGTTTTTAATATTCTTTAGTATGAATATTTCCCGTTCTACTATTGATGGAAACGAAAAATTCAGAAAATGTTCTGGAAAAAGTAACTTGGTAGGCGAAAGATGGTGTAGGCAGGAGACGTGCAAGGTTCGCAGAGCTAGCCGAGACCCATGGAAATAGAAAACTAATACGGGAAACCTACTGTGCCATTCTAGTAACGGCACCACTAGTTTCACTCTAGTGCGCATACCTCACATCATTTAAAAAAATTGTTGGCCTAAGCTAAAAAATCCGCAGAGGCAACTACTACCTAAATCACTTCGTTCCCCTCCCTCGTTTTTCGTTCTGAAAGATATTAATGAATAAAGTGGAATACTCCTATTAAAATATTTCGTATTTTATGACTAATTGAAGATTTGAATTATTTAAATATGGTCCTACAGCAGTGTCTAGAAACACGTTTGACTTTTTTAGCTTTGAGAACAGCATCGTCCTTTCTGGATGAAAATTGGTAGATGTTAATGGCCGTGCGCTACATGCGTTAGAAACACAAGAAATATGTCGATTTTCTTTTAAAATATCGTAACCATCTTCCTTGAATGTTTTTTTTTCTCTACCTATAATAGTGGAAAAACGTTTTTGTTTAGTGTAAGTACACTTTCTCGTTGTTAAATATGTTCTTTTTTCTCTGAAATAAAATTTGGAATTTTCTCGGATAACTTAGTTGCATGCGGTTTAGGTGGACTTGGGGGGCAATCCCTCTTTTTCCCGTGT